TCATTCCACCCAAGCTTTGGTCAGGGGCTGGGTGCTGGGAAGACAGCAGGCTCCCAGGACTTTAGCAGGGCCAGAAGAGGAAAGGAGGGAGCAGGGGCTCAGCCAAGATCTTGGCTTTCCAGTATCCCATGTGTGAAGGAAGCTGCTTTGGGGAGGTGTAGCATTCTACGGCTGGCACCTGCAAAGCCAGGACATAGACAGGCATCCCAGGACAGGTCAGGCAGGAGCTGTGCCAGCTCGGGGTCCCACTGGCAGCAGTGATGCCTCCTCCAGTGCACAACGGGTGCAGCACCTGGCAGGATGATGGGACTGTGAAGACCACAAAATACCAGATAACACCACCAGGTGGGCCACCTTATCCTCTCCATCACACCAGTGGCTTCATTTCACTGGAGAAACCACAGTTTGACTTTTTCTTCCCTTTTTGTATGGTTCCTTTTGCAGTCACTTCTCTCAGATACCTGATTGGCATATATATGGTTCCTCAGGATTTGCTTTTACTTGGAAGCTGTACAGGCTAAGAACTGTAAAATGGGGAAGTCTAAGCCTTTTGTTTAATGGGATAGAAGGAGAGACTCCAGGCTCCACCAAATACTCCATCAGTTCTCTAGGAAAGAGAAATGTGATGGCTGGGGTCAGCACATGGGGTGGGGTGTAACATTTGGATGGGAGCAATGCACAGAGGCTTGAGTAGTGAAGGAGGTACAGGGTGAAAGGTTTGTCAAGGAGACAGAGAGCTGCTCGGGCAGCTGGAGAGACCACTGGCACAATATGCCACCCACGATGAAGAGCAGGTGGTGGGAATAAAGGCAGATAAAGCACGAGGGCAGAAAGAGCAGATCAGGAGCTCTGATCTTGGTGCAGAGAGTCTTTAGGCAGCAGGGTTTGTGGGGGAAGCTAGTCTGACCTGAGATACTGCCCCAAATCTTAAAATTCCCACTTCCTGGGCTTAGCCACGTTCCCTGTCAAAAACCAGGGTGGGATGTGCTGGAGATGGTTCTGGGGATGGGAACAGGAATGGCTAGGCCAGAGGTGGAACTGCTTGGATGCCAGAGCTGGAAACATAATTTCTGAGCACATCTTCCTCAAAACAAAATGCAGCATCCCACCCCCCCATTCCCCCCCAGCCTTTCTCCACTCTGCTCCCAGCTGTGAACTGCTTATGTCCAATTTTATGTTGCTAAAAACACCTTTCTGGGCAGTCAGCAAATGCACAGCCAAATGGGAGATGTTGGCAGTCTGAGCATGAAGAGGATTTGGGGTGTATTTAGGGTTGGTGTGGGCTGCAGCACCAGATCAGAAGGGCCTGGATGGCCTGGGTAGTGGCCTTGCAGATTTCCAGAAGGATTTTAATCAGGGTGGCAGTGCCAGAGCAGAGTCTTACCTAACTTGACTGTGTGCTTCTGGGGAGAAGGCATATACAAGTGGACTCAGAAAGGTGGGGAGATGATCCCTGTGGAAAGAACTCAGCAGGTCCTGCTCCCTCCCCTGGGAAGAGGCAATATACCAGTCATAGCAAAGGGATTATCCAACCCTCAGGGCCTATCCCTGCTCTGCCCAGCACTCAGGAATGCCCTCCTGGGAACCCTGCAACATGCTGGGCCTGTCACAGCTCTGCTCTCAGCACACCTATCTTGGATCAGACCTGGCAGCTCCTCCAGCCACCACAGGAGCAGAGATGTAGCCTTGTGCTGGCCTTTGTAGCCTTGGATGAACAGTTGCATAAGAGGAAATTCCTGCCACTGTCCCCAACTGGGTGACAACAAAGGTGCCCCAGTGCTACCCCTCTCTCAGGCCAATGAAGCTCCCTGCAGACCTCCCAGATATTTTCCTGGGTCCAAGGCAAACCATGATAACTGATCATGACCAGGCTATCACCTGTCAGGATCAGGGCTGTTCCCTCTGCACCCCACTCTGCACCCCAGCACTTCTGGGGCTCCCCTTACCCTCCTCCTGCCCATAGGTCTGGGGTTCTGCTCCCAGCTCTGTAGATGAGCTGTAGGAGTTTAAATATCTGTATTCTATCCTCATTTTGGGAAAGGGGCTGGACAGTTCCTAATTTCAGGGTGGCATGGGGCATGGGCCATTGTCTCGTTGGTGGCACTGCAAGATCCCTGTGAAGGAGCTTTGGGTCTGGTGGGGTTGGGAAAGTGTTGTCTTATATATTACAACAGTTCTATTATCATTGTAGTGCAAGGATTCCATAGCACCAGAGTTTCATACCTCCTCTGAGCACTCCCTGTTCTTAGTCCTTGCAACAGCCATCTGACTCCTCTGGCTTCAGTTCCCACCAATCCACTCTTTTATACCACTTGTGCTTATTTGCTACAGGTGTTGCCTGTTATCATCCGACCTGCTCCTAGTCTTTAGTAATTGGTTTCAGCTGCAACTCGTTGGGGGATAAGATTACATTCTACATTACCTTCATTTACCCATACTGTGCCCCTCTACAGGAAAGTTGCTGGAGCGGTGAGGAAGAACCCACAGTGGGGCTCAAGACTGGATTCTGGCTGGATTCTGTAGGCATTTTCCAGTTCTCCCTGCCAGAACATGCTCTAGGTTCCGGCAGCACAGGCTGCAGCCCTGACTGAGGCAGACTCTGTGTCCTGGAGAGGAACCAACACCATGTGGGGACCCAGACCAGGTCACACAGGGTCATGTGCAGGGAAAAGAGCCCTTCCTGGCTTTCCCAGGGATGGATCTGTCTGGGCTACCCTCCTCAGGCCTGAGCCTGACCCAGCAGCTTTGGGTTGACATCTCAGCCTGGCTGTAGCGCACCCCATCACCTGACCATCATCTGACACCACCATCTGTAGGTACAATGCACAGTGGGATCCCTTGGGACAGGTGTGAGCTCTGGAGGACACTGAGACCCTAACATACTGCTGCTGTTTGTGAGTTCTGACACAGTAATAGACTTTACTATTACTATAGGGGGAACATGGTGGCTGTGTTAGCAGTGCTTTCCACGAAGCCTGATTCTCAAAAGCCACAGATACTTCTCCTTTTCCTTGTGGTTTTGTGGACGGTTTTGAGCCTTCAGTGCTCTTCTCTATCTGAAGTAAATCTGATTGTAAATTTCAGGTGATTTGGGTTTTCCTCTCTTCAGACTGAAAGTCTGAGTCCAGGTAGTTCTTTGGCAACCAAATGGACCTTCATGAAACAGCCCATCAATCACATTTGCAATGATATTGAATTCAATGCATATGGCTGAGTGTGCTGGCTATCAGAATTTCTTCAGCATTTTTCTAATGGATGCTATACATGAAGAAAAGAACAAATCTCAAAACAATGATAAATTTTTAAGGAGGGACAGGCCAAACACAGATTTCCAGGCCTCAGGACAGGGGTAAAGAAATAATCTCATCAGGGGTATTAGAAAGTCTGTTGTACCACTTGTGAATTTTTGAAGCTTGGTTGTTTAATTCCATTGGTTTTGCTTCTTTAACATACCAAAGAGAGTCAGTGAGAGTGTCGGTGTCTAACTCTGGGATTTTATCAGGACAAGACCCAGTGAGTGCTGGCTGTGGCCATTCTCCTGCACAGGAACAAGAAAAACCTGGTTCCCAAAGGACAGGGATCTATCAAGGAAACAAGAAGGATGTAACTCAATACTGCTGAAAGCTTTCTGGAAGCCTTCACCCATTAACCTCAACAGTAGCATGTGATACAGCTGGATTTGATGCAATGATGTTCTCAAATGGACCTTAGCAGACATCTAGTTTACAGAAAGCCCTCAGTGTTGCTGGATTAGTGGGATATTACAGAGAGGTATACCAAGCATTGTCCTGAGGATGGTGGCTCCTGGGAAAGGATCTGCCAGGGAACTCAGGGCCAATGAGTTCCAGCTGAGTGGTGAAAAACACCCTGGGTGAGAGCACCCATTCCTGGAACACTGAGGGTTGCACTGTAGGGCAATTGTGCTTGTCTATCTAGGAAAACACACACACAGAGACTCTGTAAAGCACAGAGTGGAAAGAGGAATGGCCCAGGAGAGCTGCAACAGCACAGGGAGTCAGGACTCATGGAAGCTTGAAGTTGTGCAAGAGTTTGTGAGCTGAAAAGGGGCTCAGAAGAGAGCTTGGTGGTGACATCTGCAGGAACAGGAGACTTGGGGGAGTGTGAGCGTGTCCCATATGAAGAGCACCTAGGAAATTCTTTCCCATAGCCAAAGACCCTACCTGACCTCAACTGTAACAGGAACAAGACACCTCCATGCATGTCCAAGGAGACCCTTTTATCCCCACATTGTCCATTCTGTCCTTGTCGAGTGCTTCCCATCCTAAAAGGCACTGACAAAGAGTAGCTCAGAGCAGGAAAGGTTTAGAGAAGAAAGGAAAAGAGAACACTTCCAGGTTCGGGAGCTTGTCTGATCTGGAAACTCTACTGATAGCATTCAACAGCAAGAATGTTGCAGCTGCATCAGTTCAAGGTAATAGGAAGAGAGGTTTTTGGAAGTATTTAAAAGATAGGTAGATATATAGTACTTAGGAACATGTTTTAGTGGTGGCTTATTGTGCTGGCTTAGTGGTTAGACTTGATCATCATGGAAGTGTTTTCTAACATAAATCATTCCAGGATTTGAAAGAGAAAGTGATGATGTGGCCTAGGGTGGCATTGGGCACATGAATCAGGGGTGTGTTCCTCAACATCCTCCAGTGGATCTGGAAGGAGAGAGGAGAGGGACAGATCTGAGAAGGTTTTGGAGGTGCTTGTTTTGGAGCAGGGCTATGGGAGCCTGAAGTAGCCAGGAGAGAGGCTGGACTAAGACACCTGGAAGACTGCATGGAGCCTGTACTCACTGTCTGTGGGAGGATGTGTGAGACTCAACACTGAGGCTGGTGGGACGCTCTCCTTCCAAAGAGGAAGCCTCTTGCACCACACGTGATTCCCCTGTGGGGCTGTCTCACTTCTGTGTGAGTGCCCCTCCTGCGCAGGGCTGCGCAGACACCTTTCCTGAGCGGCCCTCGCCGAGTCCTGCCCGGGCACCTCATGCCAGCATGGCCCTGCCACAGCGGGCCCTGACATTCTTCCTGGCCCTTGCTCCTCTGCTGCTGGCACGGGGACAGACGCAGCGCGGCCCTGTGACTCCGTGGGTACGTCAGGAAGCAGGTAAGAGCGGATTCTGCCTCTCTCTTATGGAAATGGTTTTGCTGCTCCTCCACCTGTGTATTTGCTACACGGCCTTACCCTGCTCAGCCCATAGCTGAGGCTGTGGGAGGGCTGGAGCTGGTGTCTGCATATGCCTGAGACACTCAGGCATCCCTCATGTTGTGGGGGGACAAAGCTCTATTTGGGATGGAGGGCAGCAAGCCTCAGTGTGCTGGGAATTGTCCATGGGGCTTGCAGTGTCCCTCTAGGAAGTGGGTAGCGTTGCTGGGAGCAGGAGGTGGCTGGGTCTTGTTATGCAGCAGACAGATGAACCCAAAGCCATCAGAGCAGTGATGGCCTTTCTGGGCAGCCCAAGCAGCACCCCTGTCACAGGCGATGATGGTGTTCATCAAAGGTGTAACCTGTGAGCTCTGTTAGCTGGGATGCCTGCTCTCTCCCATAGTCCCTGGGATGCAGGGAGCTGTAGTTTGATGGGATTGTTCACATCAAGAGGCTTGTTCTGCTCTTTCTATATGCCAGCAGGGTTAGGGGCAGCTCCTGGGTCTCTGCTACAAATGTGGGCTTTTCAAAGAATGTGGGCTTTCCTGTGGTGATTATATGCTGTGCCCTGGGCTTGCTGGTACCTGTTGAGGTCCCCATGGGGCACAGCATGGCTGGGGGACCTGAGCTGTGAGTATTCTCTCTGTAGGGAAATGGGAGCAGAAGTGGCTAGCCGAATCATCAGATGGGTTGTGAGTCATGCTGCCTATCACTGGTGGCTCAAGGATGCTGCCCTTCCAGCAGTGGGCAGCTCTCAGCTTTCTAGGGCAGGATGGAACATCTTCTCTCCTACTCTGTACTCATGTCTGGGACTGACCCAAAGGGATCCTGGATGTCACCCTCGGGCAGGGTGTGTGTTACTTCAGGGTGTTTAATGGCAGGAGGGAGAAAGGTGTGTGAAGGGGATGCCTGATGAGGCTGGAACCAAGTCAAGGGTTTCATGTCTGTCAGGTAGTTTTCTGTCAGTGAGGTGTGTGCTCTGAGGGAGAGACACTGTTGAGAGGGAAGAAGTTTCATGTCTGCACTATGTGGTCTAAAGGACTGGGGCTGGTGACCACTGTCCTTTAGGGTGGAGAGCTGGGAAGAGGGTTGCCATGATGGCGTGGAAACCTGCTGCCAGAAAAGGGAAGTGGTGAGTGCTGGTGGGAAGTGGGCAGCTGTAGCTGAAGAGAGGTGTTTATCCTTCCTGAGGGAAGTCCACTCCATGCCCACTGCCTCCTCATGGACTTGTTTTGCACAGGGTGAGCAAGTCTAGGCGACATGTCTGCCAGGGGAGGACAAGGCAGACTCATTTTGGGTGAAGTGCAGAGGCTAGGCTGAGCTCATTGAGCAGGGTGTGAGCTTTGTGGTCACTGGTGTGAACTTCAGTGGTCTGAGGGGCAGACTCTATTTGAAAGCTTCTTTCTGCACTTTCACCCAGTGCAGAAAAATCTGATTAGCACACAGAGTCAAGGGATTTGATTTATTTACAGTTCTGCACAGAAAAGATTTGCTAGGTGGCAGATCTTTGTGCTAGGTGGCAAATCCACACAGCCAGCACACCAAGGCAGAAAAAAGCAGGTATACTGACAGAGACACAATCTTACTGAAGTCACTGCTTGCCTGCGTTACTATGACTCATCCTTTCCCCTCTTCGCTGTAAAAGCACAGCGTTCCAAGAAATCATGGTACATGCTAGGAGAGTGGTGGTCTTTTTGAGAGAAGGAGGCAAACGAACTGAGAACGTGGGATTTTTACTACAATTAAGAGGAAGGATTCATCACTAGGGTGATGAATAATGTAACAAAATTCGTCAAAACTGGGTGTTTTCTAGCTCATGGGTAAACATCCTGGATGAGAAGGGTGTTATTTTTTTGTTTTTGCTCTTTCAAGGACTTAGACAATTCATTTTCTGCCTGCCTCATTCCTGTAGTTACTACTCCCACTGCAGAATTGCTTGGTTCTTTCTCTTGTTATCTGCAAACTTTACTCCTGTTACTCACCATTGCTGCTGGCACTCACTTCTTGGGACCAAGCTGTGGAGTCTGGAATAGCAGCAGAGACTCCCTGGGCCTGGTGCACTCCCACAGCCCCACTATTTGTGGGAGAGAGCAGCATCTCCCAGGCTGCTGGGCCCCTCTGGCGGGGTGTCTCCTCAGCAGCAGGTGGGCAGGATAACCCTGTGGATTACCCTCCTGCACTGCCCTGAGGGTGTGGGGAGGGATAAAGCACCTGGGGGATGGGGCTCATCCTGGGAGGTCCCATCTCTGCCACCTCTCTGAAGAGAGAGGGATTGGCACCCCTCCGGATGGAACTCCCTCAATCTCATGGATGCTGCTGGAGCCCAGTGACCCTCAGGCTCTGCCTCCTGGCCTTTCCACACAGGAAAATGTAAAATTCCCTCTGACTGGGATCCCAAACTGCGGTTTACTCCGAGGAGGAGCGACTATGCCTTGAACGAAGTGGTGCAGCTCAGCTGTGGTGGGAGGTTTGCACCATCTGTCCCACAGATTGAATGCATTTCCAGAGGGGCCCATATCCAGTGGAATGAGACTCCCACCTGCAAGGGTAAGCACAGCCCTGCACCGCCCTGACCCAGGGCCCTGAGCTGGTGGCAGACCCTCTGTGACCTGGTTGTGCAGATGACAGTGCAGGAATGGCAGAGCTGGATACCTTTGGCTTTCCCCATGTCCTGGCACTGACAAGGCTCTTCTTGTCTCAGCACCTTGCTGCAGGCACCTGCTGGGCTCTGTGCTCCTGGGGAGAGGAATCCTTCCCAGCCAGCATCTCCTCAGCATGAAGTAGGAATAGCTGCAGGGGTTCGGCTTTTCCCCTGGAAAGCTTCTCTAGGGTTTGGGTGTCTCTGGTGTGGGAGGCTGGTACTGCAGCATGGCTCACCTGCACATTAGGGAGACAAGAAGATGCAGGCTCAAATACCCATGGAGGGGCCAGAATCCAAGGGAGGCTTGTGAGTCCTGGGGATGGGGTGATGAGGAGCCCTGTGTGCTTGGAGAGTGCCTGGGCACATGACACTCGTATGTGTCAGGGTGAACATTAGAGACTGGTCCCAAGCCTCCTCTCATAACCTCCCAAACGTACTCCTCACCCAATTTTACCTCTGACAGAAACATGCCAAAGGCCTGCATGGTGGGACCCCAGACTCCAGCTGGCACCAGCCGGTGACAGTTACACAGAGAATGAAGAAGTGACTCTGAGCTGCAACAATGGTTTCCAGCCGTCCTTCACCCATGTCAAATGTGCAAGCGGGGTTCAGACATTGAATTATTCTGCATCTCCAAAGGAAGACATGTGGCTGGGGAGAAACAGAAGTGGTGTGTGGATTCAAGTTCAGGGGAATATAGTGTGCATTGGTAAGCAGGGTGTCAGGAAGTGCTTCCTACCAAACTCTTGGTCAATTTCTGTCCCATTCATCCCTCTCCGAGCTTCCATCATCACTGTGGCCAGGGATGCTATTCTGATGCCATGTCAGGGCCACTTGGATCTCAGGCACTGGATACCTGAGACTATTCCCCTACTGAATTTTGGTACATCCTTGTCCTCCACCTGCCTGGACAGGCCCCAGCCCAGCTGACACACACCCACAGGGAAAGCCCCATCCCAACTAGCCTTGCCAAGGTGTCCCATCATAGCAGATGGATGTGTCACCTTCCGTCTCCTTTTGCTGGCTAGGGGGACTGCTGGGGATTGCTGAGGCCCCAACATATACCCTGTTCCTCCTTGAAACCTCCCAGCCCAACTAACATGCACTTTCACCTCTGCCAGAAACATGCCAAAAGCCCCACTGGGATATCAGACTGGCACCAGACCAGGAGAGTTACAGGAAGAATGAAGAAGTGATTCTGAGCTGTCCCAAGGGTTTCCAGCCACCCTTCACCCATGCCAAATGTACAGGAAAAGTTCTGTCTGTTATCAATGGAAAACCTATACACAGAGAAGCTTGGACTGGAAAGGACAGCAGAGGCAATGTGATCAATATTCAGACCAGGTTCAGGGTACAGTGCCTGGGTAAGGAGGTATCAGGAGCATTCCTGACTGGCCTGCTCTGCTCTCCCTGAGCAGGGAAGGCAGCCTGTGAGGGCACAGGAAGCTTCTGGCTCTGTGCTGCCTGGGCAAATGGCAGGTGCTGCTGAAGACAGTGTCGAGGCAGCTCCTGAGTCTGCCCTGGGGTTCCAGGGGTGCCCTGGTGGGGAGATGGCTGATACCAGCTTTAGTCCCCAAGGGTCCTGTCAGGAGGGAGTTTTGGTACAGAGGTCTCTACCTTGATACCAAAGCAGCCATTTTGGCAGTAAGCAGCACTGCCCAAGGCACAGGAGGTCAGGGACCATGCAGGGCTTCAGGCTGTGTTCACAGGGGGCTGGGTGGTGTGAGGAAGACACAGGTCTCCCTAAGGGCTTCTGGCAAGAGCATGTGCTGGAAAGTCAGGGCAACAGTGCTGTAGGTCTGACAGGTGTTTGTGGCACAGGGGACAAGGGTAAAGGTATTTCCCCCTCCCTGTCCCTACTGCATGCAGTCACTGCATAGCCAGCTTTGGGGCTCAGACTTCATGCCTTCTCAGGAGGAATCAAGGTGTTGATATCCTGCCTGAGGGACAAACAGGGCACCAGAGTCTCTGGGTAGGCTTTGTGCACAGTACAGACCCCTCATGGTTTCCCCTCAGTCCCTGACTCCAGCTCCTCCTAGCCCTTCCCAGGAGACCTGGGGGGAAAAGTTTGGAGTCCTTCTTGTCCTTATCCTCTTGCCAAGAATTGATGTGGAAGGGCTGCTCTGTGCAGTGTCCTGGAGCTCACCTCTAGCTCTGATGGGCCAGGGAAGGGAATGCTCTGCTCATGCCCTGCAGAGCAACACTGCCCAGCTAACACCTTCCCATCTTGTTGGTGCAGAGAAATGCCAGAAGCCCCAGTGGGACTCCAGGTTTATCTTTGACCAAGAACAGGAGATCTTCAACCCAAATGAAGTGGTGAAGATACGGTGTCCTGAGGGGTACTGGCCTCCACCCATGGAGATCAAATGTGTGACATTGAAGCCAAGGGAAGGTTCCATGATTCCTCGTAGTGGTTGGAGCATGAGGAGTGGCACAGATGCCTGGCGCCCTGTGAAAGGGAACTTGACCTGTGTGGGTAAGTGAACAAGCCAGACACTCTCCCAGTGCTCTCAGTCTGTGCTCCCCAGGCATGGAGAGCAATTCTGCACGTGTAGCACAGCATCAGTGCCACGTGTTCGGGGTGGTCAGGGCATGGCACAGAAATCCAGAGAAAATTCTGGATGCATCCCAGGTTTATGTCTGTGCTGTTGGCAACTCTGGCTTGTGTAGTCTGGGAGAAGGCAGAATGCCCTTGCCTACTCTGTGCTGGGGACAGGCTAGCGAGGGAATGGTGGGGTTGGGGGAGTTTGATGTCAAGGCTTGGAGGGGGAGGGAGGGAGTGATCCTCTTGGAATGTTCCCTTCACAGATGTCCGCCAGGTTGTCCCTAAGATCCCGGAGATTTCCAGCACCAGCATCAAACTGAAATGGACCTGCAGGTTCCCTCATATATGCCAGAATATTCGGGCCAGGTGCCAGACAGAGTGGCATTCCTCCTCAGACTGTGAGACTGAGGAGGTGAAGGTAGAGGAGATGCTGCAAGGCTGGGAGGGAACTTTCATCTGCTCCCCTCTGCAGCCCTTCACTGTCTACAGTGTCACCATCTCCCGTCTGCCCAGCACAATCCTGTATGCAGACCTCCACACAACAAAGGAAATGGGTATGTTTACATGAAATGTCAGGATGTCCTTCACCCTGAAGCTCAGCCAGAGCATCTGCTCCCTGCTGTGATGGTCCTGGGATCAGAGCTGCTTGCAGCCTGTGGGGATCTGGGGAAAGAGCTGTGCAGGGCCCTACAGCACAGCCTTCCCCCTCCTCACCACACCATTTTGGCTGCACAGGCACAAGCAGCCTTTGTGGGGGACAAGTAATTGCCATCCAGGCATGATTCTCTTCTCCTGTGCTTCCAGTGCCAGACAAGCCAGAGAAGCTGTGGGTGGATACCAGCACAGGGTCCCTCAGGTGGAAGCCGCTATCCTCCTGCAAAGGGGAGATCACTGGATACCAGGTACTGGGAGTCCATGGAGTGTCCCTGGTCCCCCTCACCGTGCCTGGAGCTCTGTGCAGGCAGCCTGAGGAGAGCTGGGAAACTTCCTTGGCCAGGGCCCACAGGCTGTACCCTGCTGGTGCTCCTGGTAGGGCCAGCTCCCTTCTTGTGCCCAGCCAGCAGTAGCAGCCCCTCTCCACAGAGCTGCCCAGTGCAGAAGCAGGATGTTGGTCCTACTGTCTAGAAGCTCCCTGTTTTTCCTCCAGCTGAACATCACCACCATGAGAGCAGAGGACGGCAGCTTCATTGACTTCAGCCAGGTGTTGGTGAACCAGTCTGTCTCTGAGTATGTGCCACCTCATCAGACAGCTGGCAACAAATACCTGGTGACAGTGCAGGGCCTGACTGCTGCTGGGGCTGGGCCTGCATCACAACTGGAATTCCAGACCTACGTCCTGGGTAATGGTTGTTCTGCCCTGTGTCTGGTTGGGGTGGCCTCTCAGGGGGTGAGTGCTGAGTCCAGAGCTGTGTGTGCACCCACCCTTCCCAGCTCAGACAAGGGCAGGGAGTGTGGGCACCACCTGGCTCAGCAGTGGGCATGAAGCTGGGGGAGCCCTTCCTTGAGGGCCTTCACTGGCAGGTCTGCAGAGGGCCTGCAGCACTTCAGCCATTCTTTGTGCCTTTGATAGCAGACCTGCCCCCTCTACTCTTCCACTGAAGAAGGTGACACCCATCCCTGCATTTGAGTGCACAGGTGGGCTCATGGTCAGAGAGCACTAGGGCTGCTGTGTCTTCCCACTGAGTGCAGGATGGCAGAGCAGGCTGCCAGGCCCTCCAGCTGGGCCCATGGGGCAAGGCTTGGTGCTCCAGAGCCTCCCTCTGCCCTGTCCAAGCAGACATGCAGGCAGGGCAAGGCTTGCTGCCTGTCCCTGCAGCAGCCAGGGCAGCAGGGCCTGTTCTACATGTGCAGACACCCCGCAGCAAGGCTAGAGCAACTGCTGGTGCATGGCCCTGGCTGTGGCACCCACTGCTCTTTGTGTGTCAGTTTCAGGGCAGCCTATGGGCTCTTGGCCTGGGTCAGCAGTCACTGTGGTGGTGGTGGTGGTGCTGTTGATCCCCTTGTCTGCTGGGATCATCTGGTTCCTGCTGTGCAGGTGGGTTGCAGGAGATTTGGAGTCTTGGTTCTGTCTCGGGCCATATTGTGCTGTGGGTTATGTGGGATTAAAGAGGTTCCCCAACTGTTCCCACCCTTCTCTGGGTGCAGAGGGTGCAGCTGGCTGGCCCTAACACAGATTTGCTCTGGGGCTCCTAGGTGGGGCTGTAAGTGTCTTCTTCAGGGCTGGGATGGGGCTGTGTGTGCTGAGAGACCCTGTTCCCTTGTTGCTGGTGCAGCCACCATCGCTGTCCCCTGGGGTGTGGGTGGCAATGCTTGCCAGGGCAGAGGGAGGGTGTGCAGAACCCTCTGTGCCACTGCTGCTGGGTTCAGCAGGGTCTGGGCCAGGTCAGTCTCTCCCTGACTCACGACTGCCCTTTTCCTTCCCAGAAAAAAGAAGGCCTTGCCCAGCAAAGTCGAGGAGGATCAGTACACAGGTAGGATCCCCAGCACAGAGGGGACTGTAGGGCTGGAGCTGCGAGGGGAGCAGGTGTATTTCAGGAAGGCCCGGTGGCATTCTGAGGTAGCTCCAGGCAGCCAAGCTGGCTATGGCTGACCTGTCAGACCAAAGTGTCCCACATGTATTCCCAGCTGAGACCCTGCTCAGTAGCCTCTTCCAGCAGCTCCTGGCTGGGGTGTCCCTGAGGTGCCAGAGAGGGCTGGGAACTGCTCCTCCTTCTCACTCTCTCTGGGGTAGGCAGCAACTCTTCCCAGCCCTGGTGTCCTGATGATGTGCATCCCAGGATGATCTGCTGCCCTCGGTGATGCTGCCTGCCTGAGGCTGCCCTGCTCCTTTTCTCATAGCCCCCAGGTCCCTCAGGCTGTTTCTGTCCTCTTGTCCCCCCACAGAGCTCCAGCCCTATGAGAATGTACAGGGGGATAATTACTGCATGATCGAGACTTTTCCTGAGAAAGATGCAGGTAGGAAATGGGTTGTCCTGCCTGTGACCCCACATGGCCCAGAGAGAGCGGGGACTGCTAGCTCTGATGGAGTTTGAGCTCCTCAGGTTGCCGAGGGCATGCAGCAGCCCTGGGTCCTCTTGTTCTCCTCAGGTAAGTGTGGCCAGGCTGGAGAGCCATTACCCCCGCCCCTGCCTGTTCGCGAGAGTCAGCAGTGAGGAAGAAGAGCAGCTGGAGTGGACATCTGAGGCACTTCTCTTCTCAAGGCTTGGTCCTCCACCACTGGAAGCATGACAATGAATTATCTCATGAGTTATTGCTTCCCCCCAAAATTTTCTTCTTCATCAAGCTCCAGAATCCTCTGCCACACCACAGGAGCAGCTTAAGGCATGGGTTGACCTCCTCATGACAGCAAGGATGTGTCGCAGTAGTTCTACAGTGCTCTGGCATAGCCATCTCACCAGCATCTTGGTGCCTGCAAATATTCCCTGAGAATGGAGGAGCTCACAATTCCTCTTTCCTACCTGTGTCCTTTTATCCATCTAGACCCTGTCCTCTGCTTGAGTTTGGCCTAGCTGTGCTGCCCTGGCCACTGTACTCCTGTGTCTGAAAAAACCAATAAATTGTTCTGGTTTGCAGGGGCTGCCTGGCCCACAAAATCTTCCACCTTGTCATGGGTCCTCCTTGTTTTGTATGTGAAAGCCTTGACCCCATGAATCTTCATGGAGGAGCTTGGAGAGGCTTTCCCAGCCCCTGGCAGCACCAAGGAAGCACACTTGAGGTGCTGCACGTTCCCAGTGCAATGCTTTGGGTGACTGGTTTCCCTCCTCCCTATCCTATAGGTGACACCATCTCTACTTGCATAGCTGGACCTCTGTGTAGGTCTGTGTCCTCCTCTGTGGGTGCTGGGGCTCATCTCCCATTTTGTGAGGTGCAACTGGCTCTGGCCCTCTTGGGACATCTGTGTCTTGCAGCCTTTGGGATCTACTGGCTCTTGGCTGCTGCTGCTGCTGTCTCACCCCCTCCAACAGGCACTTTCTGTGGGGTGCCAGTGCCCAGTGCAGCCTGGGTGCTGAGTCCAAAGGCTCTCCTTGGTGAGGGCTGCACTGCTGGCAAACGGGGCAATCAACCTCTCTTTTCTCCAGCTCTGAGTGTTGCCTGTGATGATTCCATCTCCTTCTCCTACCCTTGGGCACAGAGGCTCTCCTGAGCTCCCTGGACTTGAGTGTGACAAGCTGGTTCTGGTTGTGCTTTTTACAGTCCTGAAGACAAAGCAGTCATGGTCTTTTGCTTCAGTGTTATCTCCCTCCCTTGTCAAACCTGCCAATACCCAGTGCAGCCTGGAGGCTGAGGGGCAGCCTGAAGGCTCTCCTTGTGGAGGAGTACACTGTCAAAACATAGAGCAATTGACCTCTCTCTTCTCCAGCTTCTTTTCAGCCTGGCATGACTTGCATGTTCTGGTAAAGGCATGTTTTGACAATTCTTCATATGAGTTGTCTGCCCATCAGCTCAGTACCTGCAGCTGGCCCCTGGGACCAAAATATCTCCTTCCTGTGAACTGTTGCTGGTGTGACATGTGTGCCTGATGGAGCAGTTCTTTGTGGGTATTGGGCAGAGAGGAGAAGAGAAATTCAATGCAGCGTGGGTGCTGCTGGTTGAGAAAGGGGAATGAGCAAGCTCGGGATGGGGGAAAACAGTTGCAGCCTCCTTGGCTACCCTGCTTCCCACTCCATCCCCCCACCCCTAGTCATGGTCTGGGCTGTCAACCTTGTGACTCCACCTGCTCTGTCCAGACAGTCAGTAAAGGGTTATGGTTTGGACAGGGCTACCTGCTGCCCCCAGCACCTGCCTAGTCCCTCATTGCCCTTGTGAGCTGCTGTTCCCTGAGCTAACTGCACCTTGTTGAGGGAAGCCATGAGCAGGACAGGAGTGTGTCCTGTGCATGTGCCACAGGAAAACTGAGGGATAAGTATGGTCTCTGTGCCTCTGCAGCCCCTCATGTCTGATACCCAGGCTTCTAAAATACGAGACACCCAAAGTGGATGGGAGGTTCTGGGGGAAGAGAAAAGCGGTGGCTGTTGATGAGCAAGAGGCATGGTTTAGTACTGTGAGTGTTTTCTCAAGCACACAGCTGGCACTGTAGGGCAGCATGCCCTGCACACTTGGGGACAGAGGAGAGTGTTGCCAGGCTGAGAGGGAGCAGGAGGAGGAGGCAGCTGAGGATAGAGAAGCGGGGAAGGATGAGAGAGGGTGTGGGTTGAGTGTTTCTTTCAGAAGAGCCACAGACTCTTTCAGGCATTGAAGTACTCCTTGCAGTTCGTGTCCTCATTCCTATATGTGCTTCTGACCAGGTCTTTATGTAGTTCCTCAAAGGTCCTCCATCTCCTGTGATCATTGAGGGGAAGTGACTCATCACCACTCTAAAACCCACGCAGTGTCAGGAAGCACTTGAATATTACCTCAGTAACAGGAGTAACGCTTCTTGAATGCCCTGGTAACTAGGAGGGTTTTGGGAGGAAACTCTGGGATCTTGTGACAAAGTTCCTTCTGCTGAGTCCCAGAGCCTCGATGCTCCTGGGGCAAAAATATATCAAAAGGCAGAAGTACAGACATGGATGGGAGGATCCCTGCCCAAAGAGGAAGCCCCCTGCATCTCATGAGGAGATGTGTCTGTTTCCTTCCTGTGGTTGCAAGCCCTGCAGTCAGATACGGATGCCTGTGCTCAGAGGCAGTGAGTGGGGCTGAGATTGCAGTCCTGCCTGAGGACTTCATGCTAGGATGGCCCTGCAGTCACTGCCTCTGAAGTTTCTCCTGGCCTTTGCATCTCTACTGTCAGCACATGGCCAGGAAGAATTTTTCAACATCCAGATAGTGCCCCAGGGAACAGGTAAGAAGTGGTTCTTGCTCTTGGAAGCTTCTTCTGCCTTTCCTCCTCTATGCTGGATATTCATCTTCACTGCCTGCAGCCCTGGGCAGTGTCAGCTGGGGCAGCCTCTGTCTGCCCCAGGGACGGGAGCTACAATGCAGTGTACACTGGCCTTCTGTGGGACAGACAGGACTGGGCTGGATGTGCAGTGAGGGGTCATGCCCTCCAGAAAAGCAGTTTGCCAGTCATTCCCTGGAGAGAGTGGGCATGAATTGGGCATCAATTCACGCACTGTGAATCAGGGGAAGGGTTTTCAAGGAGCTGTTCACTTTCTGTATAAATCCTATCCCCAGGTGTGCCTGAGGGACACTGTGCCTGCTGAGGGCAGTGTAAGAGGGAGCTTGCTGCTGCTTTGCCAGACAGATGGATCAGGGCAGGGTCAGTGGCTGGGTGCCAGAGCATGGGGGGGGTTGTGGCCGTGTGCCAGGGGGCAAAGCTGCTGGTTGTGGTGCTCAGCTGGGCATCTCTGCTCTTCTGCCATCAGCGCTCTTTGACTGCAAAGCCTCTGCACAAGGGGCTTGGCACAGCGTTTCCCTTTGTGCCAAAGTTGCTCTGCACCTTGTGAGATCCCACGTGTGCCCCTTTGGGTGAAGGCAGATTGTATTTTAAACCCCTTCAGGCCTCACAAACCTTCTTGCAGAGGCTTGAAGGGCAAGGGATCCTTCCAGAAGCCAGCATCCTTCTCTGTAGCAATCATTGCCACAAAGCCTCCCCCTGCA